TCCTCCACAACTAGACTGAAGAACAAAACGATAGCAACTTGTCTGTTCCCCTTCCCCCAATTCCCCAATAAAAGTCTTTTAAAAACCCCAAAACACTTAAAACATTGCCTAGTAGATCTGGTACCTGATCACTGCCATAGTAGCTAATTGCTGCTGCTGCTGCTGTTCCTGCTGCTGCTGCTACTGTGATAATTTTGACATTCCAAGGCCAATGATTTCCACATATCAAATTGTCTCTCCATAGCCTTAGGGTGACTGAAGAAACAAACATAAACCTCCGTGGGTCTCCTCTGAAGTCACATTGGAGTTTATCTTGTTAGCAAGTAACAAGTGAAAAACACAAGGGTGAACCTCAGGTGGTGACATTTTAATTTATATTATGTGATCTATCTGAATGGGTCTTCTGCAGAAGCAAAAATAATTGACTTGTTTATCACCCTGTTCCACAGCTCTATGTTTTACTGCACATTGATTTGTTTAAAAAATTATCATTATCAAAATATAGAGAAATAAAAAAATGTTTTGATGTAAATAACATTATATGTACATTTGATTTTTCTATGGTTTGACAGTATCATCATTATATCAAAATAACATTTGCTTGTCAACGGACCTCCAGGATGCCATATTGGGCACTAAATGCAAAAGTCAGTTAAGCAAGTATGAGTCTATCCTTCACCTGAGAGTATTTGAAATAGCATGTTTTCAGAATTGTGCTTTAAATATTTGTTAAATTTAAAATATTCATCTTTTTCTTAATGTTTTCACACATTTTTTTATTTTTGAAAACTGAAGTGTATGTGAGTGAATTCAAGCTCTGCCTCTGAAGAATTTGTTAAATATCAGTTACATACTTTCACAGCTCTAGGCACACAGAGCTGTGTGTTCCTCCATATCAAATGCTTACAGAGACCTGGAATGTGTCCTCTGCCATCTGAGTCCACTGACACAAATTTTAACACAAGAATGTGTGGTTGAGGATCAGGAAGCAAGGAAGGATAATTTTCTCTTGGTTTATACCAATTTTGCAGTATAAAGGAAGATTGCTTTCAAGGACACTCAATAACCTTGAATAGGTGTGACTTTTCTGGCTGATAAATAGCTGTGATTAGAACTTCAAGAATGGTTTGATTGGCTATAGGAATATTTCTTCTTCTTCTTCTTCTTCTTCTTCTTCTTCTTCTTCTTCTTCTTCTTCTTCTTCTTCTTCCTCTCTCTCCCTCCCTCTCTCTCTCTCTCTCTCTCTCTCTCTCTCTCTCTCTGTTGTCTCTCATTTTCATGTTTCAAAAAAACACACTGAAGGAAAAGATAATTTCTAAATTTCCATACACAAAAAATAAGGGTGATTTTTAACATGATAATCATATATGCCAAAACTCAACATTAACATTAAGCATTAGAAGTGAGATGTTTTTTTATTTTTAAATTTAACTTGTTAGCTTTGATTGGAGTTAAGATAAATATAAATTCATAGCCTATTGAGGCTTAAGAGCTAGTCTCATTTTGGCCATACCTGTGCTATGCTAATCTCAATCAAAGTGAACCAAAAACTTGATTGAAAAAGCAAGTGAGAGGTGGTAAGTGTCCTTCAGAAAATAAAATATTTATTGGGTTGTTGGAAAAGTCATGATGTATTTTATCTATGTTTTTCAAAGGTCATTTATTTGTATAAAGAAAAAAGATCAATCAATGATACATTGCCCATTTTGTTCAATAACCTTTTGCCATCTTTCAGTGCGCTTCATAATTCCTCATTCATAGAAGGACCTCTCTTTATTTGCGAAAAACTGAACAAGGTGCTGATTTACAGCCTCATCTGAATTGAACGCTATACCATGCAAGGAGTTTTGAAGAGAGCGAAACAAGTGGAAGTCTGATGGCACAAGGTCAGGCGAGTATGGTGAGTGTGACAACACGTCCCATCCAAGCTCCACTAATTTTTGATGGGTGATCAAACTTGTGTGTGGTCTCGTGTTGTCACGATGGAACACAACTCTTTTACAGTTAACAAGCTTTGGACATTTCTGGACGATGGATTCATTCAAACTATCCAATTGCTGACAGTACACATTTGAATTGATTGTTTGGTTCCTTGGTAGGAGCTCAAAAAACACGACACCTTTAAAATCCCACCACACTGAGAGCATAACCTTCCTCTGATGAATGTCTGCTTTCGATGTCGTTTGAGGCAAATCATCACGTCGGGACCATGACCATTTGCACACCACATTGTTGTCAACAATCCACTTCTCATCACCAGTTATCAGTCGCTTCAAAAAGGATTGTTTTTCTCACGTTTAATGAGCATACTGCAGATGTTTATACATACCATCAAATGAACTTCTTTGAGTTCATGCAGATCCCAAATATGGAGCTTGCTTACATCTCCCAGCTTCTTCAGGTGGTCATGAATGCTTGAATGATGGATGTTCAATGTTTCTGCAATCTCTCATGTAGTGTAACGTGGGGTTGACTCAATCAATGCCTTTATTTTGTTGTCATCAACCTTGGTGGGCCTCCCTGACCGAGGAGCGTCATTGAGATAAAAATCACCAGCACTGAATTTTGTGAACCATCGTTGGCATTGACATTTTTGTAGAGCATTTTCACCGTAAAATAAATGTATGCAACTTTTCACAAGCTTGATGCGCATTCTTCCTTTTATGGAAGGAAAACAGTAAAATATGGCAAAAATGCACAGTTTGGTCTTCCATCTTCAACTTTTTGTAAAATCTCAAAAACTCAATGAAATCACTCAATGTTTTTAGAATGAAGCTAGAACTGTCAGCTGTCAAATGACATAGCAATAACATAGATGCAAATGACTCTAGTACTTCCAAAAATGAACTAGTGCCATCTGTTGCAAACATGCATCATGACTTTTCCAACAACCCAATATTTATCTCTATATTATAACAGAAAACACGAAGTTATTTTTTAAGTATAATGGCCTTAGTTGATATTTTTGCATTATCAGTGTCCTTATGTGGAAAATATTTCCCCATTCCTACTTGGTAAACTTTCATTCTTTAATGAAGAAAGAACTCTATGTATGTGTCAGTTGAAATTAAGTTAGATGTATTTTATTGATTAAAGGGCAAAGGTACAATCCTCAGCTGCAAAAACGCATCTCTGGAAGTACATTTCTCACTCTTCCCTGTTTGTAGTAAAGTTAAAGCCTATAATCCAGGTAACTGTGCACCCTCTGAATAATATGCAATGGGAACCTAATAAAAAAGCAATTAAAACTGGCCTTATAAGATAGATGTTCTGTGGAATTTTGGTAGTTGTAGTGATGGCGATGGTGATGAACAAATTAGCTAACCAAACTCAGTCTTTTCCCAATATCTTCATCTTTGGTGCTCCAACATTGCTTTGTCTTCCTTTATAAGAGTCATCACATTCTGCTTTGCAATAGAGTTATTTATCACTTGCATTAAGCTATGAGTTCTTTGGACAGAGAATATGGCCTATTCATTTCCACATTCTCTCTAGCCCCGCTTGGGAGTGGTTGGCAATTGTTTATTCAATTCATTCAACAAGTATTGATCAAATGTCTACTATATGTTATAGTGATGAATATAACAGATAAGAACACCTACCATCATGGAGCTTACATTTTAGGGGGGAGACACAGATGGCAGACAATAAATAAATAAGCACAATATATAGTGTGTCACCTGGAGATAAGTGCTATGAAAGACAGGAAGGGGGATGATAAGTGATATTTTTTGGTGGTTTACAATGGGAGGTTGCAAAGGCCCTGAGGTGGAAACATGCCTGGTATTTTCAGAAACAGCAAGAAAGCTACTGTATTTAGAGAGCTTAAGATAGGGGGAAATATCAGGGGATGCTTTTGGAGAGGTTAGGGTAGGCAGAAGTGGACCTTGTAGGGGCTTTGTAAGTCATTTTAAGAATTTTGGCTATTATTTTGAAGGAAATAGGACACTATTTCTGCTTCTGAGCAAAGATGAGACAAGACATGACTTAGATTTTAAAATCTTCATTTTGGCTGTAGTGTGGGGAATGTGCTATACAGGGGCAATGGCATAAGCAGCAGATCAATTAGGAAGCTATTGCATTAATACAGATGGGAGATGATGGTTTCAACCAGTGTGGTAGTGAAGAAGTGGTGAGCATTGGATTGTGGATATATTTCAAAGGTAGAACCAACAGGATTTACTGACAGATTCTATGTGATATGTGAAAGACAGGAATCCATGATGACTTCAAGTTCTGAGATCTAAGCAAACAGAAGAATGGACTTGCCATTTACCAAGATGGAAAAGACTAAAATAGGAGCAAGTTTGAGGAGGAGTGGGAGTCAGGAGCTCAGTTTTGAACAAGTTAAGTTTGAGATGCCTTTTAGATATCCAAGTAGAAATATTGGGTAGGCAGCTGGAAATTCAATTCAAGTTTGTGGCACAGGGGAGAGACCTATGCTACAGCTATAAATAAGAGAGTTATGAGTTTATAGACAGTATGTAGAGTCATGAGATGGCATGAGATGAGATTAGATTATTGCTGAATTATTAGTATATATTAATTTATAATACTTTATCTTATTTTTCTCCAACTATGCTCGTCTCTGATATTATTTCAACCCAAACTAGGTGTCTCTGTAGACCATTCATAGAATCTGTACATTTGGGAGTTCAATAGTTTCTACTACAGTATGTGTGTGTCTAGAGTAGTGCTAAGTCACATGGGAGATATAAAGAAGTACAAGACTCAAATCCTGCCTTCAAGGACCTTAACATTTGGTTAGGGAAATAAGACTTGTGAAACTTTGTTCACATTACAAAGCATTATGTATCATTGAATGCATATCAGTAAGTCCATACACTTTATTTGGATGTATGTGTTTGCTATCCATGCAATAGGAATTCCAAAATGTGAGACACTGTACATGATAGAGGAGCCACCACCTAGATGTCTACAGATTTTTTGATAAGACATCTGGTAAAAAGCAGAAGAATAGGATAGGAGTTCATTTCACTGGAAAATAAAATCATAAAGTTATTTGGTTTCAAACTAGGTTTTTTAACTTTGTATGAATGGACCAAGTTGCAGCAGTGGATGAAAGTGATAATAATATAATGTAAAGAATGAAACTAAGCACATTTTCCCCAGAGCTTAAAACTTTTCAGATAACTTTGACATCTCAGGTGGCATTTGATCTTCTGAACCTGTAAGTGCTAAGTAAGGCAGATAATGTCTCCACTGGCCCTAAGAGCCTCAGTGGCTCCTCGGCCAGCATTCTGTGGGGAATGGGGTTCTTTCAGTGATTTATCATGAAGTATAAAATTTTTATTTCTAAACCCTATTTGGATTCTGCTGTTCCTAAACCAGTGTACTCACCAGAAGTGTTGTTTACATCCTCTCAATACTATGAAGAACAATAATTTACCACCACCTAACTCATTAAAAATGTGCTGCAAGCCTCAGGCTCAAACATCACAATATGAACTCAAAGAGCTCAGTGTCCCTCAAGGACACTATTTCATGAGCCTCTCTCATTCAGAATCCTTCCCTTCTTCAGAGCCCTTGTCTTAAGTGCAGTATTAAACCAAAGGCAAGAAGGTGTTGTTTTCTGAATGTAGTTCTCTTACCAGTTTTATTTCAAATGTGGGATGTGTTGGGTTAATATTTGTATTCCTGGTCACTTTCAAATCTTATAATGTTTTTTAATCTATCTTCTAACTTTAAAAATGTGTATGCACCATAGAACAACGCTGTTCTTTATTTGCGTTCCAATACAAATATCTTTGAAGGCTGTCTCTCTTTTACCTTGAGTATTTTCTGATGCTGCAACCACCAGCTTAATTCTAAATGCTTGATAACATATGCATGTAATTCAGAGTGTTATTATTGCTTCCAGCTAGCTTCATGTCATGTATTGGGTTGTCAGAAAAGTTGTGACGTATTTTTTCTGTTTTTCATTGCAAGAATGTATCATGAGTTTTCTGACAACCCAATAGTTTGTCTCGTATTCCACTCTTTTAATACTATTACCAAGACCAATTGAGAATCTGCCAGATGAATTTCCTCACATAAGAACAAATCTAAGAAGGCTTGTGTTTTTCCCTCTCTTTCAGGGCTGCTTACATTAAAGGAACTCCTCTTCCTGGTTTTTTGTTTTTTGTTTTTCATAAAACTGAACTTGCTCAATCAGAGATGGAACAAACGGACTGCAAACCCTACCAGCCTCTGTCAAAAGTCAAGCATGAAATGGATCTAGCTTATACCAGTTCTTCCGATGAGAGTGAAGATGGAAGAAAACCAAGACAGTCATACAACTCCAGAGAAGCTCTGCATGAGTATAACCAAGAGCTGAGGATAAATTATAATAGCCAGAGTAGGAAAAGGAAAGAAGTAGATAAATCTACTCAAGGTATGTTTTCATTATTTCTTATTAGGGAATGCTTATGTGCTTTAACTTATGTTTCAAAAACAAATTTGCTAATGTTAACTGGTTGATAATCCACACTGCTTAGATAAGTTTAGCAAATCTGTTTCATATGCCAACACAGCTGAGGCTCTAGGTTACATGTGCTTTTTATGGGTTATGCGAGAATTTAGATGCAACAATCCTCTTATGAGGGCATTCAAAATTTGTCTAATCCTGCAAATAGCCATTTGGAGACTGAAGGATAAATAATTTATAGTAAGATGAAAAGTAAACAGCTAAGTGCTTTTCAAGCCATTGCTTATATGGAAGGAGAGTCTCCAAAAAATATTTGGCTTCTAAAAGAGCTTTGGAAAGTTTAGTGGAGACAACCAAACAGGGGTCCACAAAGTCTGTCCACAGAATGCTGAAACTTTGTGCGGCACAGTCTGAAGGGGAAGTAAGAACTTTGAATCCTTACTACCACAGCCATACTGTGGAGCATATCCTTTGGACAACGTTGGATTGTTAATTTTGGATTGACAAGAAAGTTTCTAATAAATAGAAAACAGGTAGATATAAATATAATTTCCTTATTTTTTTCAATTGATAGATAATCAGTATTAGACAGTATCTTAACTACATAGAAAAAATATACTGACATTGGCACATGTTACCTTTTTTTAAAAAAGAATAAGTCAAATCTGAGATACAAAAATAGATTTGATTATCTAGATCAGTAGCTTTCAAAGTATGGACCCTGGACCAGCAGTAGAGCATCACAAAAGAACTTGTTAGAAATGCACATTTTTAGGCCCTACCCCAAACCTATTGAGTCAGAAACTCTGGGGGTGGGGCCCAGCCAACTTGTTTGGGGATTTCTGATGCAGGCTCAAGTTTAAAATGAAATCACTTTACTCAGCTTCAATGACCACATTTATTCGGGTGATTTCTGAATATTTATCTCTAGCCCTACCCTTTTTCCTGAACTCTAGACCTAAATGTTCAGTTACCTGCTGGACATTCCAAATGATTGAGCTACTAGCAACTCTAAATCAATATATGGAAAATGGAAACAATCATTTTAGCACTCCCAATCCCACTTCTCTTAGATTACAGCATCTCTTTTTTTTTTTAAAGACTTTTATTGGGAATTGGGGGAAGGGGAACAGACAAGTTGCTGTCTTTTTGTTCTTCAGTCTAGGTGTGGAGGACGTTGCTTCACTGGTCCAAGTTGGCACCATCATTGTGCTCTTCCCAGGCAAGGCAGATCAGTCGCCGGCTTCTGGACGGCCGCTCACGGCGGCTGCTCCTACGCCGTCACCGGCGACTCACAGCAGCCCAGCTCTAGGTTGAGCTGTTGTTCAGCATCTTAGCTGTAGAGGGCAGTGTCACTGGCTCTCATATGTGGGATCTGAACCGGGGCCCTCTGGAGTCCCAAGCCAGTTCTTAACCATCGCGCCACTTGGCCGGCCCAACACAGCATCTCTTAATGATGCTCCCATTCTCCCCAGCCATCCACATACACTTTTAATATCTAATCAGATACCTCTTTCAGCAGATTTAACCTCTACATGACTAAATTTCATCTTCTCTCCTCCATTATCATTATTGCTACTCTAATTGTATGTTACCTAGAAAGTTTTTTGTTTCCTAACTGATCTCCTGGGACCCCACTTCACCCCTCTTTAACCCCTTTGATGTCTTGTTACCTCTTTCTTTGGAATGTCCTTCCCTATTCCCTCCATTTATCTGTATTCAATCATCTTTAAGGGCTAGCTTACCAGCATCTTTGCGATAGAGCCTTGTTGTACTACCACCCCTGTCACCATCCCTAATCCACTGTAAAGATGATCTTTTCCTCCTTGAACTTAAGATTACTTTCTTTGTTCCCATTTCTACTTTTTATTACTTTTGTATGTACTCTCCCAGATTGTACTCTCAATGAAGATGAGGATCATGATTTATTTATATCTCTATCTTTCTATAATACTCTGCATATAATATATGATGTATAATTTTTATTTAAGGACTAAGTTGCCATCAACTGAAACATAAGTACTTATCATGCTTTGAAAACTGCTTTTTAAATAATTACATTGGTGAGGTAATTTTTTTTTAAAGAATAAGTCAATGCTGAGAAGAAAAAAAAAGAATTTGATTATCTAGGTCAGTGGTTCTTGACATGTATACCCTGGGCCAGCAGCAGCAGCTATCACCCATGAACTTGTTAGAAATTCAATTTATCAGGCACTATTCTAGGCAATGTAAAATGTAGTTATTACAAATGAAAACTACTGTATTCAAATGAAAATTGGCATTTTACATTAGAAAAACTTTAAATTGAGTTAAAGTATTCATGCTAACATTTAAATTCACAGTAAATGTTTATGATATTAACTGTATTACTCATTTTTAGCTCTGAACATAATTGGTAAAAGTCTTATATCTTTTTTTCAAGTAATTAATCTTCCCTATTGATTCAGCTAAAGACAGTGTAAGTTTGTTACAAAATCATTTTATTCTTCTGCCTAACTGCCAATTGGGAAACGTTTTGTTATGGGAATTTTTTTGGCTCTATTATGCTTTAAGAAATGTGTACTTTCAATTAAAATATTTCTCTATAAGTTTGTCTTTACAGAATATGAACTACAGTTGTGAGTTGTGGGTTATAGGATTGAAGTATAGAGTGTTTGACCTGGTTTATTTTGAGTTTAAATAAAAATACATTTCTAGTGACAGTTCTAAAATTATAAACAATTTTGTACCGAGTCAGTACAAAGAGCTAATCAGTCTCAGATTTTGTTTCTGTGCATTGTGATCAAAATGAATTTTGGGATGAGACAAGTTTGTCTTCTATGATGCTATCATTACTTCCTTTCAATAACCTATAATTACTCATAAACATTTATTTAGCCCTTGCTATGTGTCAGGCCTTGAGTCAGATGCTGGGGATGGAGATGACTATGATAGTTTCTGCTTGTAGGAAACTCATCATGTGGTGGAGAAAATAGACATTAAATAAATCATTGCAGTTAAATGTAGTAAGTACTTTTATAGATAAATAAAAGGGCTATGGAAGAATACAGGGGAATCAGGGCCTATTGAAAGGTGATATTTGGTCTAGATCTTAAAAAGTGAATAAGAATTCACTGGGAAAAGGGCATTTCAAAAGGGTAGATTAGCAGGTGCAAATGTATAAAGATGTGAAATGGCCTGGAATGGGAAAATTTTCAATATGGTTAGAGTATGGTACATTGGAACCAGATCATGAAAAGCCTTGCATGCCCAATGTAAGAGTTCCTTTTATCTTTTAAGCATTAAAAAAAGCCTTTTAAGTGATGAAGAATTTCATGATGAATAACAATTTTTAGAATGAGAAACATAGAAGAAAATTGTAGATGTGTAAGCAGCAGTGTAGAAGATTGATTGCAATTGGGGGTGATTGGATAAAAAGAGACAATCTGTGAAGCTACTGAATTAGCCCAGGCTAAGAATGGGGATGAATGTCTAAACTCTGGCAATGTCAGTGAAGGTGGAGAACCATATTCAAGAGATATTAGTGTGGTAAAATTTATAGGACTTGGTAATTGATTACTTGTCATGGTTGACAGAGATAACAAGTGAAAGGTGACTCTAAATTTGAAATTTGGGAAACTGGGAGGATGGAGATCCATTTACCAAGAGAAGGAAAATGGGGAGGTGGGGGTTTGGAATGGAAGAGAATGAGTTTCTTTCCAGACATGTTATCTTTAAAATGCTTGGGAGACATCCAGGTGGAGTTTCCCATCAGGCAGTTGGAAATGGGTGTCTAGAGTTCAGGAAAGATCTAGACTTTTGATATAAGTAGATTTGAGTTCTTCAGTATCTTGTAGTAGGAGATGCCTAGGGATGGATGAGATTACCCAGCAAGAAAATGTAGAATCAGACTAGAAAAAAAGCCAAGGACAAAAACCTGAATCTATGATCCACGTACTGAAATAAACACGTTTTCAACCTATTTAAAATGTTCAGCTAGCATCATCCTCTGTGCTCCAACTTATATAAATTAAATATGAAGGTCCTTCTGGTGAAAGTCTAGAAAGTTTGGATCTTATCTGCCAATCACTTGCTAATTATTAAAGACACCTGGGAGGGAAACATGTACCTCTTTAGGAGAGAAATGAATTATCCTACATTAGGCAAAATTGTAGGCCCAATGATCATCTTTTTTGTGAGGTTTGGAGTCCTCTTTTTTGCTGTATTCCACATAATTGCTACTTATGAGTGAAAGAAAAATGTTGTTAATTTTAACATAAGCATCTTGCATCAACTTAGATTAGTTGAACCTGACACATTATTTTTAAGGAATAAAATTATCAGAATATCGTTGAGTTTTAAGTCAAGAAGGAAGAAAGAAAACATGTTCATTGGGCACCTACTGTTGTGCCAGACACTGCTAGATGCCTTTCAAGCTTATTAGCTTTGTATCCAGATGCAAGTTACTGCAGCTCTCTGATTCTGTTTCTCATCTGCAAAATTGACTTCACCAAAATCATCATCATCATCATAATCATAACAATAAAAATAAACATAAAATAAATCTTGAATAGTACCCACTCTATCCCAGGACTCTGCTACATGCTTTACATTTTTTCTTCATAATTACATCTGTTTCTCATAAACACCTTATAAGGTATGAGCTATTATCCCGTTTACAAATGGGGTAATTGAGGCTTGAAGAGAAATAGCTTGCCAGAGTTTCTGCAGCTAAGAATTGGTGAGAGTTGGGATTGGAAATCAAGTCTATGGCTCCAAAGTTCTCATTGTTCACTATGCTACAGCGTCTCTCATACCTACATTATGAGATTGCAATAAGGCTTAATTGTGATTGTGTGAAAGTATTTAAGAACTCAATAAATGTTAGTTTCCCTTTATTTCCTCCCTGCAACAGCCTTGCCAGCCATTTTATGTTCCAATGACCAGGAGTATACAAGGATGTTTAGAAAGCTTTTCCTTTCTGATTA